TATCCCGCTCGTAAGGCCTTTCTCGCCAGGGACCGCCCCCCGAGGTGCTGCGCATTGATGCCCTCGTGGATCTCTTCCAGAACGGTCGCGGCCTGAGAGTTGTCGATGCATTTGAGGAGGGGAACCGCGAAGCCTCTGCGATATAATTTATCCTCGAGAAGGACATACGGGCAGGATCTTCGTTTGATCGTGCTGGCCTCTTTGGGGTAGGCGGGGAGGCGACCTGCGCTGAGGTAGGCGTGCAAAGGCGTCATCCAACAATTGATGTCCCCTATGGTGCTGACTCAGCTGCGATAGGATCTCTTGGATGACCTACTTGTGTCCGCCCCTCTTTTTGGTGCTTGCTAGCTTTGAGAGAATATCTGCTCGAGTGTTCTGCTTGCATGGAACATGTTAAACTTCCGCGGAGTCAAAACTTTGCATTTTTTCTGTAATGAGGGCCAGATACTCGGCCAGGTTATCGTTTTTCGCCTGATACTCCTCCCGTACTTGTGAGGCGACCAGCTGGGAGTCCGTGAAGATTCTTATTTCCTTAGCCCCGAGGTCTGCCACTAGGCGAAGCCCGACCAGGAACGCCTCGTACTCGGCCTGGTTGTTCGTTGTTGGAAAGGCTAGCGTTAGAGAAACCTCTATAATGGCGCCTTCCTCGTTTTCGAGGATGATGCCCGCGCCGCTGCCCGAGGAGTTTGAGGAGACATCGACGAAGATAGTCCACTTGTGATTACCTGGGGTAGGCTCCGGCAAGGGGGTCATCTCGCCGAAAAAGTCGGCTAGGACTTGAGCTTTGAGGGCTTTCCTTCCTTCGTAGACGATGTCGAACTTGGATAGTTCCAACGACCACTTTAGCATCCGTCCAGCCATGTCCGGTCGGCCGATAAGCTGTTTGACGGGTTGCTCGGTCCTGAGCATAATGGTGTGGGCCAAGAAGTAATGTCAAAGGCGTCGTGTGGCGGTGATGAGGGACAAAGCGACCTTTTTGATCTGTTGGTACCTCACCTCGGGACCGTGGAGGGCCTTGCTCGTGAAGTAGATTGGTTTTTGTCCCTCGGGGGTTTCCCTGATCAGCACGGCGCTGACGGCCTCGTTTGCCACGGCCAGGTACAGGTACAAGGTTTCTCCAACTTCGGGCCTCATCAGCACGAGCGGTTCTGACAAGACGCGTTTGAGGTGATGGAGGGCTTGCTCGCATTCCTCTTTCCATTCAAACGTGGCTTCTTTTCTGAGTAACTTGAAGAAAGGGAAGGCGTGTTGTGCGAATTTGGCGATGAATTGGGAAAGTGAGGCGAGTACACCGTTGAGGGATTGTATAGATTTCTTTGAGGTCGGCGTGGTGATTTCCAAGAAAGCTCGGCACTTGTCCGGATTTGCCTCGATCCCTCGCTCGGTCAGATAGAAGCCGGGGAATTTCCCTGCTCGGACCCCGAAGGTACATTTTTCCGGGTGGAAGCGCATTCTGTATTTCCTCCATATTTCGAAGACTTTTCTGAGGTGAGCCGTGTGATCGACTTTCGTGCAGGACTTGACAATCATGTCGTCCATATACACCTCGAGCATGTCGCCAATCTCTACCCGGAAGACTTTGTTCATCATCCGTTGGTACATGGCGTCAGCGTTCTTTAGGCCGAAGGGCATTACGTTGTAGTAATAGTTGTCCGACTCCTTCATGAAGGCGTGCTTTGTTTGTCGCGTTCGTCCATGGGGATCTGGTTGTATCCCGAGTACGCGTCTATAAAGGACAAGAGTGAAACCCGCCGAGTTGTCGACGAGCTTGTCAATGTTAGGGAGGGGGTAGGCGTCCTTAGGACATGCCCGGTTGAGATCAGTGTAATCAACACACATGCCCATGGACGAACGCGACAAACAGAGCTGCTAGGGGTCTCCTTCCCACAGACGGCGCCACTGATCTGACCTGATCAGAAGGGAATCAAGGACTTGCCACACGCCGTTGATCTGCTGCCTGTTCACCGGTGCTGAAAAGGAGATGGGGTGTACCTGCAAGACACTCTGATGCCAAAGTAAGAGTTTGGACAGAGTGACAGAAAATACAGAAAAAAGGGTAAGAATAGAATACCTGACCCTCTTGTGAAAGAGGGTATTTATAGAGAGACCCCAACGCAGGGCCAACAGTCATTTGAGTTGGGCTGGATGGCCAGGCCCAACCCAAATGATTGCTAGGGCTTGTGTGGCGTAGTGAAGACCAAAATGTGGTCTTCGCCCTAGTTCAACTGTCCCGTGATCTCCGAAAAGTGGGTTTGACCTGCTCTTTCGGAGGTGGACAGTTGGTTGGTGACGTGTGCCGGCGGAGGGGAGCACGTGGAGAACGTGTGAAGGACACATTGTTCTGCTCGACAAGGGAAAAGGTCATGCCCGCGGGGGGGGGGGGGGGGGGGGGCATTGTCTGCCCGGCGGGAAACATGTGCTCGACAGATGTAGCCCAAGCTGGATTGGGCCTAACAGAATATCATTGGGTTGGACCTGCCCGGTCAAGCTAGGGCCCAGGCCAGAACAAATTCCAACTTAATAAGGGCACATCCTTTGAAAAGAATTGAATTCCAACATGACCAAATAGACCAACAAAACATAAGATCAAAAAACGAAGAAGAATAGAAAAAATTAAGATAATTAAGTCTATCTAAAAGCATACCACCTAGAGCGGACAATCTACCCCAATCATCAGCAAAACTTGTTCCATACGAAGTTGGAAAAAGAACAAGAAAAAAACAAATGCTCCAAAAACACAATCTCTTCGTCAATTCCATTCTTGTAGGTAATTTGTTGAGAATTAACCGCCATCCAAAAATAAGAATTTTGCTTGAAATTTTGGTCTATCATAATTGATCCAACGATTTTATTATGATAGGATCTAAAGTAAGCTCCACCAGACAAGACTCACAAATCCTTTTGTAGATATCTTTAGCCGAAAAATCATCTATATGTCTTCACCAAACAAAATGGTCCTCTTCATCCGACTTAGGTTTCATTCCATTCAAAATCGATAATAACTTATCTATCAACATCACCTCATCTTCACTCAAAGTTATCCCATTGAGATCCAAATCCCACACTCAAGAATCATTAATCCAAGACCCTGTAAATGAAAAGTTATTATAAAATTATATTACATAATCATCTAATAAATCCCACATCCCATTAAGATTATAAAATTAAAAGATTTTTGAGTCAACTAATTAATCATAAAAAAAGTAAATGAAAAAATAAAAGATATATCAACATTGTAAAATTATATTAATAAATAACGTGCATCTCGTTATATCATACTAATAATTTAAAACTATGGTCCATGATGATTCAGATGTTTTTAAAAATTAGGTTAAAAATGATATAATATTTAGAATTAAACTTGCAGCTAAAAGTAACATAGAGATCACAATTCTTTTTCCTTTTTCTTTTTTAATTTATTTTAAAGTTAAAAATAAATCGAGTCGAATTCGTGGACAATATAATAGTTGGTTCAGCTTGAAATTCAATTTGAGATAAACAAATTTTAAAAAAAAAAGAAGAGAATATGCACAATATAAAGATATTTTTGCATAAATTTGAAACAAATTCGAAAAGCATTCTCTAAAACCTAAAAAGAAGACTAAAGTTTTTCTAAAAAACATATTACTAACCGTACAAAAATCGAATATGACACAAGCACTTCGACACTTCGACACTGATAATGTTAAAATATAGGATACCAACACCGCTATACATAAAAGAGTATTTGAACTTTATTTATCCATCTATGGTTTAAAAAGTAGAAAATATTCTAATCAAAATTAATGTCTTTAATTCTTTATTGATAATATTGTTTAAATACACAATTTTAAATTTTTGAGATTTGTCCAAAATATATATAAAAGTGTGTTGAAGCAAGAAAAAAACAATTCTTTGTTTGAAATACTTGTCTGAATTGCCTGACATATGTTATGAGTGTCACAGAAGTGTCAATCATTGATTCAAAGAGTATCGAAACAAAAAAAAACTATGTTTTAGTGGACATTTGTCTGATTTATTTGACACTTCTTAGACTTTTCTGACACATATCATATGAGTATCATACAAATGTCAATACCGGAGCGTGTCAGACACCCCTAAAGATGCCCGTGCTTTATAGCTACTGAATGTTGCATATGTGCCCGCAGCTTGTTATCGCTGTGAATGTTCACTCTACTTAATAATGTCTGTTTTCAATCTTACTTGATCTCAACCACAAGCCTAGTGATCCCAAAAATGTGTCCATATGCTAGCATGAACAAAATACAAAGCATTGATATATTATAGGCCTTGCAAAATGGGTTAAAGAATTTCTAAAGATCCATGGGCTACCTTTTAAAATGTGTTATAGTCCGCAATGTTTCCCATGGAAATTTTGAAAATGTTTTGCTCCATTTCACTAACCATCGTGTTGTTTGGATTGCACCAATTGTTTGCCAGGACTAACTGAAGTGATCCTCAATAAATTGGTATTTTTGTAATGATTTTGCCAAGAATACAAATTGTATAACTATTTAATGCATCTTGCACTTCATCTTCCTCGTGAACTATAAACTTAATTTCATTTCCTGATTACAGGTTTTGCTAGTTTTCATTTCTAGGGAGTTGGAACTTTTTGTTGATCATGTTGATGGTATTGTCGCGGACCTTGTTGAAGTGAGATGCCGCCATACTCATACAAACATGACGCAGATCAGATATCCTTGCTTATAAAGTGAACTAGAACGATATAATGATCTACATTATCGCACACATGACGTTGAAAAAGGCTAGAAAAACAGGAAGAAAACCCTAAGACAAATCAAGATTTTATCGAGTTCACTCCTCTCTTAATCAAATGTTGACTCAACTTGACCAAACCAAACAAAATAGCATTTCATAATAAGTGCACAATTTTAGTGTATGACAATAACATTGGCCAAAATCCACGGTACTTTATTAAATCCAGAACCAAAACATTCAAAACCTATACTTTATTAAACACAGTACCAAAACATTCTCTAGCGCAACCTCCTAGCTTCTCTTTCAGACTCAAGCAGGGTAAGAACATCCCCTTCTCTAACCGGCCCTTTCACGTTCCTCATGATCACACGGTTCGAATCACCCAGAAATCTCACTCTAACCTGAGTCACCTGTCCTCTTGAACCAGTACGCCCCACTATTTTTTCAACCTTAGCATTCTTGATTTGAGAATCCATTCTGCTCAAACACAGCAGCCACAAAAATGATGCCAAATATTATATTTATGACACATAAGATGCAAAACAGAATATAAAAAATGAGAAGGAACACATAGCTAAAGAAGAAATGGAGATGCGGAAGAAAAACTAACAGTGGGGTTGCCGTAGGAGAATACAACGATCAGCAGCTAGAAAATAGAGAAACCCTATTTTTTTTATTTTAACTAGCTTTCTGATATTTATATTAGATTTTTAAAATCCGGAACAAATTAATGGGTCGGCCCGATATTAATTCAACTTCTTAATTTCTATTGCCCCTAATTTAATCTGGCATTATTTTTATGCCTTTATTAAATTTTTTGGGATTTTTTATGGTGTTTATCATATTTTTCAAAAAAAATTTGAAAAAATATCAGATTTTTTGAAAAATTCGACAAAAAAAAATTTACACTATCTAGAATTTTAATATTTTTGATAAACTACTATATTTTTCAAAAAATTTTAATAAATTACAGCATTTTTCGAAATGTCTGGTAGTGTTATATTTTTTTTCTTATTAAATATAAACTACTGAAATCTTAAAAAGTCTGAAAAAATAAGGAAGATATCAAATTTATAAAATAATCCAGTGTGTTAATTTATTTTCAAAAAATTTGATAAAAAATTCATAACGGCAATTTAAACATGAACTATCACAAATTTAGTCTGTTTCCAAAATTTTTGAATGAATTATTGAAAATTTCATTCACACATTTGACTCAAATTTATTCATGAACAATTTAGAAATTATAAAAATATGTGGGGATGTCAGGTATAGTTGGGGTGGTAGCCGGTTAAATTTTATCTTATATCTATCAATTACTTCTCACGGATACAATTAACTTAATTAAACCAAAAATACCAATTTATTATGGTTGTAAAAAATCCAAAAAAATAAATTGCATTCCGGAAAATTATTTGATGACTACAACGAAAATAAATTTAAGCAACAACGAAAATAATATACACTAGATGAAAAACAATATATTTGACGTTTTGATCAAAGAAGTATGATCCTCCCACCTACAAGCATCTTAGGGAACCTAACTATAAGAGTAGTGTTTCCAATCCAAGAAGGAACTTTCTATAGAGAAGTACGAAGGCTAAATACAACTTTCTTAAAGAGGTTATTTCGAAACCAATATGAGGGATTCGTAACTTTGGCACCTAGGAGAGACACACCTCTCCACCAAGGAGATGTATATCTAAGACAATCAAATCTACCACCCAAGTTCAAAGAAATAAAAGTAGCTCAATATTTGGCGAATAGAATATCATGATAGATGTTTGTAGCACTCGAATCAATCACCACCTCTACTTACTCAAGTTAACCACACGAAGATCACAAACACTAAAACCTCCAAACTTCGTAGGTTTGCACACATCAGACCACTTAATTCATACAATCTTGGAAATCTCTTTAACTCCACCTAACAAAAAAACCTCCTTTAAATTTTCACATTCTTCTTCCACATCTTAAGTGGCATCTTTAAAAAAAGACAAATAACATTAAGAACAAAATTTAAATATTTGATTATTAATGCAAAATAATTGAATTTTAAAATAGAACTAGTAAGAAACCCGTGATATCGAACGGGTCACGTCTAGATTCACATTACACGTATCCATTCTTAAATTATTAAGTATGATACCATGTTTTCAGTTGGTTGACATTAATATAGTTATAACTTATAATCATTTATCCAATTTCAATTCATGTGTTTGGAATATCAAACATAATATAATATAATTCTATCAATAATACACAATTTTTTCCAAGCAGTGTATTAAACAAAACATTTAACATGTATGCGATTAATCATAATATTGACAGGGCCACATGCAAACATATTTAAAAATATCTCTCATGAAAACCAAGTTGACATTAAACTTCATTGTTACAGCTGATAGAAAAACTAATCATATAGCCTAATTATAGATATGATTGTACGACATATTATAATATCAATAATGCAATAAACATGTACCTGTCATGGTTGAATCCATTTGCCTGAGTGTAAACTGAGAATGCTACTGCCCTCTTTCTGATGGAACGGTTACGCTTAATTATCTGACCTAATGGGATAGTCAAATATATAACCACCAGATGAGGGAAGGGACCTCTCAGCGGGCTATCCAAAAGAATGACCCAAACCATTACGGGTCATTCAACAATTAAGCCCAATACAATATTTATTTAATTAAGTAAATGTTAATTGATATAATAATTATATATATAATAAAATAATTAGTTAAAGTAAATCCATTATAGATTTAACATTCTCCCACTTGGATGACTTTAATTAATTATTAAAATAACACAATTATAATAACCAAATATATCAACCACTTATCACCAAAATAATGTGAGAAGACACAAAATTTAACAATGCATAAATTGTATCCGATAGGGAAACAAATCACACATTTCAAATACCCACATTTCATATAACGATAATGAATATGAATTAACATAATATGATGTAGAAATATGTAATCCTATAATGGTCCAAGCATCTGAAATGCTATAAGAGATATGATTATTAAATTGACGTCATCTTATACATATCTCATTACAATAATTAAATGCAACAATCAGACTCCCACTAATCCAAAATATCAAATGACTTAACTACACCCATGTTGGCTACATGCCTTTGAAAAACACCAACAGTCGAGCCTTTGGTCAGTGGATCAGCCAACATGTTCTCAGTGGCAAGATGCTCAATTCGAATCTGAAATTCAAGAATTTTCTCTGACAAATAGATACTTAATATCAAAATGCTTTGAGCAAGAAGAGATCTTAGTGTTCTGAGAGAAATGTACAACAGCAAAATTGTCGCAATATATCACAAGTGGCCTAGATATGCTTTCAACAACTTTAAAGCGAGAGATTAAGTTCTTTAGCCACATAGCTTGACAAGTAGCTTCATAGCAAGCTACATATTCTGCCTCCATGGTTGAGGTAGCTGTAAGAGTCTGTTTAACACTCTTCCACGAAATAGCTCCTCCTGCCATCATAAAAATTAAGCCGGAAGTAGACTTTCGGTCGTCAGGGCAACCTATAAAATCAGAATCAGAATAACCAATGACCTGAAGCTGATCAGACTTCTTATAGGTCAACATGTAATCCTTGGTTCCCTGCAAATATCGCATGACCTTTTTAACGACTTTCCAATGACCCAATCCTGGGTTACTCAAGTATCTCCCTAAAACATTAACTGCATATGCAATATCGGGACGAGTACAAACTTGAGCATACATCAAACTGCCAACAGCGGAAGCATATAGGACTCTTTCCATTTCAGCAGTTTCTTTATCATTTTGAGGATATACAGATTTAGAGAGTTTATCACCCTTTTGGACAGGAACAGCGCACGGGAAGCAAGACTGCATATTAAAGCGTTTAAGGATTCTCTCAATATATCTTTTTTGAGATAAACCAAGAACACCACGTGGCCTATCACGAAAAATTTGGATGCCTAAAATAACAGAAGCATCACCTAGGTCCTTCATATATAAGTGATTACTTAACATTGTTCTTGTCTCATTCAAGAGACTAACACTAGTGCTAGCAAGAAGGATATCATCGACATGTAACACTAAGATTATAAAATATCTCCCACTGGTCTTTAAATAAATGCACTGATCTGAAGCATTTTCGTTGAAACCAAAAGAAGTGACAACTTTGTCAAACTTGAAATACCATTGTCTAGAAATTTATTGGAGTGTTCCCATTTTTCATAAAGGGTCTTTTGAGCTTCAGTAGACGTGTCAGTAATAGCGTCAGGCTTTTCAGTTCTCAGAGCCAAGTCAAGGATGACTATAGCCAAATAAAGGTCGAGAGACTCTTTTCAATCCTCATAATTGGTCCCATTAAGAGTTTTGACAGAGTTAGGAAAAGAGACTGTCATGGAGGAATAAAGAATCATTAAATAAATGATTATGTAATATAGAAAATTGATTCCTCATATACCAGCCAAATATTTTCCTAATATAAAAAAAAACTCTAACTCATTATGATCTTGCATCAAAGATACAATAATAAACAAAAACTTATATTAACAAAATTTTAATATCGATAGGATATTAAACATGATAAAATAAGCATAAATTGTCAATATTATTTTGTATCATAACAAAATTACACTAATAACAATATACCGATAGGATATGATAATTATTAATATAATACAGATCATAATTACAAATAAAATTTTATTTATTCTAAATTTATATCAATAATAATATATATATCGATAGGATATACTTATCATTATTATAAATAATTATTATTAACAAAAATTAATTACGTAATTACCACACAAGAATTCATAAAATTATACTCACGATAGGTGAAATTATAATCATATGAATAAATAATATGTATTTTTAACAAATATAATAATTATTTTATTGTATTAATCAAACATAATAATTATTAATATAAATTGAAATAAAAGACTTATTGGAAATAATAAAATATAGTATTTAAATGATATCATCCAGTGATATGCTAATTTCACCCAAAATAATTAATATTATTAGTTTTTAATTTTTGTGAACCAAGTACTAGCAAACTATCCACCAATTACTTAGGACAACAAGTACTAGCAAACTATCCGCCAATTAATTATCCTAAGAACGCTAGCAGTAAGGAATTGAAATTTGATCAATAGTTTGTTCATGTATTTAAGGAAAATAAATTTGAATCAATATTTTATTCCTATATTTATGGACACCAAATTTTGAAAGAGTTCATTCTTAATTGACACCGAAATAAATTTATCCCATAACAACTAATTACATTGAACACAACATATTTATCTGTATAATTATTCTTAAAATTGCATTACCATCAGAACGTGTTTAATGAATCTATAAATTAATAATCAAGTATAAAATCATTGAATTATTGGTTATCTGACCAACTTCAATTCTCGACTCTGTCATTAAAAATACGAACATATGCAATTTTA